GAGGGCCGGTGTCCTGAAACTTTTCCATGTGTCTCTGCTGCAAGACACCTGAATAAAAGTAGGTCAATTCCAAGTCTCTACAGAACTTGACTGCATGCTGAGGTGGCAACCCCTAACCCTGCTCAAGTACATTTAAATAAATGTAAGTGTTTGAAAAATGTACTTTTATTGCACCATGTTCATTCACTCATGAGCTGCTGTAACATGAATCAAATGGCTGAATCTTGCTAATGACCTAATAATTTTATTCAGCTGTGTTGTAGCAGGGACTCATGCAAAAGTTTCAGGACACCAACTCTCGAGGACTGGAGTTTGACATCCATGCACTAAACAAAGTCTGTTGACGGGAAGCAGAATTTGTGACCTGGAGTCACTTTAATGTGTCTGGCACCCGATTGTTTTTGTTTCAGTGTACTTTTGTCATTTGCCTTTCAATTATCCTTTCCACTGAGATGGACCCAGCAGTAGGTGGAAGAGTTTGGTTCACCTCAGATGGATTCTAATGGATATAGGCGGTATGCCACTGCCCTGCCAGCTGGACTACATAATGTATATGTATATATGACTGGTTTCAGCAAATGTACTGTTTATAAAGTTGGGAAAACCTGCAGTCAGCTGAGACTGAAGAAGTCACTTGGACTAGTGACGAAACGTTTCTCCCACAAAACGCTACGTCCAGATGGACAGAATCAACTTTTTGGAGATACATAATGTATAGTTTTGTCAATTATGGGAATCCCTCCATTTAATGTTGTGGTCAATATTCAAATAGGAACCTTCATTTAACTTTATTTTTTTAACCTTAATGCTTTTTAAGGTTTTGCTGTTTTCACTGACACTTCGAAGTGCTTCCAAACACGTTATGATAAATACCTAAAAAGCACACTTTGCTGATAATATGCTGATGAGAGGCTATTGTGAATAGAATTTTGAGTTGAAAAATTAATTTAATCCATTTTGCAACAAGGCTTAACATGACACAATGTGGAACAAGCTGTAAATACCTTCCATATGCACTATAACAAGGTGTTGATAATCAACTTAACTTGATTAATTAATGATGACCTCTGAGAGCCTATATAAAAGCACAAGTTTTAATAGTTTACTGATGTCTTTCCTTCTTGGTACTGTGCTCACACAGGCCTGAATGCTATGGACTAACAATGAGAAGCAATTGCTGCTGCTCATTACTCTAGGAAGGGTTACAGGGCCATTACCAAACTATCTGAAGTCCATGATTGTATAGTGAAAAGAATTATTATCTGAGGAAAACAACATTCCAAATAGTTGCCAGTCTGCCCTGGAGCCGATGTCCCAACAAATTCATCCTAAGGTCAGACCACTGAAGAGTTTCAGAGAAACTGTCAAAAACTGAAAGATTGTCAGGTAGTGGTCAGGTGACCACGGGGTTTGCGTTTGAAAGGGAGACTGACCCACCTGTTCTCCGCTCAGTCATTGGTTCCCTCATGTCAGGAGCTCTAGAACCCTTGCCACTGTCAGCCAGCGCGTGCCTCAGGTGCCATAAGTGTTATCCAGCTTTGTTCATTCTTCCATCCTGGTTCCACCGCTTCCAAAGCCATGATCAGCGCACCAGGAGTTAGCCTAACTTCCCTCTTGTCTGCCTGTGCCCAGGTATGGGCAGCGGCCCTTTACAATGCCAAGTCCCCAGCCTGCAATGGTTATGCCCTGTTTGCGGAGGAGTTAAAGAAGACCTTCGATCCCCCTTGTAGTGAAGTGGAGGTGGAGTCGCAACTATATCATTTACGTCAGGGTAAGCAATCCATGTGTCACTTTTTCTCAGAGTTCCATATTCTGGCCACTACGTTAAACTGGGGCAATGCTGCTCTCCTTTCAATATTTATGGAGAGTTTGACCAATGACATCTGAGATAAGATGGCAGGACATGAGGCTTCCAAGACTCTTGATGAGCTTTGAAGCTAGACCAACCAGTTATGTCATGACCTCGTACTTCTCTGGAACTCTTCCAGTTCCAGAGAAGTACAGCTCGGCCGCTTCACGCCTG